GGGGGGGGGGTTCATTGCTGCAGAAAACCAGGTGAGACAGAAAGACAGAACTGTGACTGGTATGCATCTCAGACTGTCATACCCCCAATTAATCGACATTAAAACTGCTTGGTGTCAAGTTTAGACTTTGGGAAGAGGAAAAGATTATTTCTCAATCAGAGTAAGGCTTTATAGATAACTGGTTTTCTGTGTTAGCATTATAAAGAAAACAATATCACAGTAAGTGAATTTTTCAAATAACGCACCTGATGTGAAGCTGATTATCTTCTCTACTACCTGCTGCTGCTGTTTGTTTTGGTTTGTTCAAGAATCTGAGGCTGTAATGTGCTCACACAGAGCCAGTCCTTTATCCCTGTGGTAGGTAGGTAGGTCAGCTCTGTTCTTGCATGAACACATGCAATCACTTTTAATCAGCTGGTCACATTTGTTAAAAAGCATCTTTTTCCATCAATGGGATAGTTTATTATTACAAGCAATTAAATGTAAGAGGATGCTAAGGGCTAATGGAAGCCATTCCTCCCTTTATTCACCACACGCCGAAAATGCTCATGTGGCTTGTAGCTCATTAACTGTCGCCTCAGAAGCAATTATGTGACAACAAAAAACCTGCTGTGAGGATTAAATGCAAAAGCCACTGGTCTGAAAGATTTCTATCTTAGCCGATGTTTTTGTTGGATATTTTAACCACATTTACAATGCACAAGGCAATAGCAGTGATATCTTAAATCATACCAGACAAGTAACAATGCAGATATAAACTCATCCATGTGTGCATGTCTTTGTTTAGAATCAGTGTGGGAGAAACTGTGAGATGTGTGAGGTTATAGGGAGCCACGTTCGAAGCTGCCTGCGAACACCAATCGACAGCATGCTTTGGTTTACACAGAACACCATCTATACCCTCACATCAGTATTTTGTAGGCTGGAGCTGATTCCAAATTAGGCATAACTTATAATAATAGTGTCTACATTGTGAAAATAAACAATGACCCTGCGTGTGATTCTCTTCCATCACTTGACCATGCACAGCAATGTTGAAAGGCATTTTGTTTTCAGTCATTTACATTCAAGCAAAACATGCTGCATGCGCCCTTAATCATGCTTTTTTTCAATGTACTGCACATGCTATACGCCCACTGCAACAAATTGTTGGTACTCTTGGCTTCTCTGCCAACATAATCTACCCAAGACTCAGCGCTCCAAGAGATGGTTGCCTTTTACTGACTGTTTCTGTGGTTTGTATAAGAATGCCCGAAGGTTTTCTCTTTTAGCCATTTTCAACTGTGGCACTGTGTTTACATCCATAATTGAGGGGCGAAAAGAATTTTGCAAATCCATCTTCATGTGTTTTGTGTGCTTAAGAAAATATTCTAACTGCATGCTGTGTTGTTGTGTCATTTATTGATAAGACAACAGGGAAGCAACTTTTATTTCACTTCAACAAAAGTTGGGTCTGGACCTTAATACCAGGATTTATGCCTATATGCATGTATTGTTGGAATAGAAACTGTAGAGGATTCCCATTAAATAATTTCACAACTTGTGGTGTTTGTGTTAATGATTCCAATAATCAATGCTGGAGAAAACTAAACTGCGTATTAACAATACCACATTATTGAATCACAGTCAGGATTTATTTTCTGTGATGTTTATTGGATGAAGGAAACAAGATTAACTTAAGAGCTGTGATACCAACGTCCTTAGGAGATGATATGATATTACGCCAGAGTGAGCTGATGCACTTTCTTGATGTGAGCTCCACAGAGAAGTTTTCAGGACTGATCATAAAAAACTTCAATTTTACCAGAATTGAAATGGGAGGAAATTTGAGGACATCCATTTTTTACAGACAATGAAGCATCCCCTGATGTAGGGGAGGCTGTTCAGGTTGTTAGGCTTGACAAAAAAAGTACAGCTGTGTATCATCAGCATATACATGGTAAGAAATGGCTTTGAAGCTCAACCAGGGTAACATTAGTAAAGAAAACAGAAATGGGCCAATGACTGAGCCTTGACTGACTCCACATAAGACAGGTGCGGATAAGGACTGAAGTATCTGTCAGATAATTGTGATGAAAACTATTTGAGAGCTGTGGCAGTGATGCCAACCTAATTCTGTAATCTGTTAGTAAGAATGACATGATCAGTGGTGTCAAAGACAGCAGATGAGTCTAGTAGGACCAAAGTGGAATAGTCACCTTTATCTTTAGTGTTGTATTTTTAGTAATTTTAGGTTATGGTCATGTTTTAGTGGTGCTGTTTGATCAGTAACCAGATTGGAATTAATCAAAGATGTTTCCCTCAGCCAGCTGAAGGAAGTGATGAGCAACAATTTTCTCAAAGATGTTTGAAATAAATGGCTGTTTGGAAATGGGTCTGTAATTCTTTAAAGCAGTGGAGTCTGAGGAGGGAAGAAACTGGTTGTTTTAAAGTAATCTGGATCACAGCCAGATGAAAGGGATTTGTTTATGATAGAGAGGTGCCAGGGATCTATGACAGGTAAAACCTCTTTAACCCTTTAAAGCCAAATGTATCATATTTTTAAATTACTTTTTGTGAGTTTTTGAGACTTCCACATCATCGGCGTGTCGTGGAACTCATAAATAAAACTCAGACAACAGAAATTTTTCACAAACCTTAGGAGATATAGCAAAGATAGAAAACTGAGTATGATGAATGAGTCAGTTGATAGGGTTGAACCTTGGATTGTGCTTATTATTGTTACTCAAGACAACAAGACATATTTTTTATGAGTTGGTGTAAGAATAATGGCTTTCATTAGGCGACAGTTAACAGATATGTCAAGCGTAAAAGCCAGATCCTGTGTGGGGCTGGTAACACATTGCCCTAAATGAATAATTTAGCAATGTTAAGAAATTCTGTTGCAGTACAGTTAGAGTGATTATTAATATCTAACTTAAAGTCACCTGGCACATTTTTTTTTTGTCAATTGTAACAACAATAGAGCAGATTAGAGAATTTTTTTAAAAAAATAATAAAATTAATACAGCTGAAAAGAATTTAGCAAAGTAATTATTATAAATTCATCTGATTTAAATCAGCACAGTGAACACATATAGTTTGATGGTCAGGTAAAGCAAGGAAAGTGCCTGCTTATTTAAATTCTGCAAGTCAAACTCCAGTAGATACAAATAATACTTCATTTCAGTGTGAGAAATTACTGATGGATTTCTGATAAAAAGGGGAATATGTGCTGTGGAAACTAAATGCAAGGATGGTACAGTATCCTTGGATTTAGTTGGACTGATACATTTCTGGTTAAAAGTAGGAAGGCACGCAGAAAAGGCAAAGATAACACGGCTTACTTTAAAGGTGGGAGCTCATATTTCAACTTTAAGAGTTAACAAGAAACAAGTCTCATTATTAAGCAATAAACACAGAATTCCTCTCTGATCAAAGCTCTTTGTTATTGTAACTAATGGTGCATCTGTCTTTTTCTCTGTCAGGTGGCATCCCCTTTATCCTGACCGGGGAACTGTTTGAACAGTCTTATCGACCTGCTGCCTTCATGATCGCTGGCACAGTAAACTGGCTATCTAACTTTGCCGTGGGCCTCCTTTTTCCATTTATTCAAGTAAGTGGCATTATTTATTTATACTCTCAGGCTACCACAATATCTGTTTTTAATTACATGGTTATCATGACAAAAATAACACACAGTATACTTATAAAACGTATAAAACGTAATCTTTTCTGCCAAATGGGGTTAGAGAAAACTGGCAAATGAGGAAAGCTAGCTTCTGTAAAGTGTGAACGTCTCACTCACATCCACAATCATCTGCCAATCAAGTTTCTTAACTGCTTATCCAGTTCTCAGCTGTTACTGGACCGCGTACACCCTCGACAGGTCACCTCTGTGGAGCAATCGTATCCACACACTGGGGTATTGGCCACTGGATGTAAAAGATGAGTGTAGACACCATGACACCAGTCGTTGGTTAGTTTAGATCCATATCAAATATGGACTGAGTATTTTAACCACCATCTCATAGGGTAATGACTTGTTAGTCACAAGGAAGGCCCACACTAAATGCATTTTATCATTCTTTTTAGCATTAATGTGGACCAATTTTTTTATACATAGTTTACCAGTGGCTTAATTTTTTAATATCAAAGCTATGTCCATCTTTTAAATATGTGGATATGTGTATCATTCCCATGATATCATCATTATTAAATATCAATGTTGTCACTCCATTATGTTCACTGTATTTTAGTTATGGTATGATTTTGCAGCTTACTCACTCAGGTTTACAACATCAGGAGCATATATTGAATTTACAATAAAAAAATATATTACAAAAGAAGCCAAAGCTGTAGTGTTATTAACCAAACAGCGCATGATTTTTAACCTAATGAAGAAAATGTTCTTGAAATTCATGCTTGTAAACCTGAATGTATTTAAAAGTGATGATAGGAAGATGAAGTCGCTTCGACTGGCGCTCCGACGCACACCACTTAACTTTTATAAGGTAGTTTTCTTCAAGGCACTTGGATTGAGCACAGAAGACTTTAAACATAATCCTGACCTTTATGTAAAGCGCAGATATGAAAACTGTGATCCTGCTTCATTTACTACAAGCCTCGCCTGGCACAGCCGCGAGGAAAAGCAGTTAAGCCATGCAGGGCATACTCTACAGGAATTATGAATTGGGGTTTTATTTCCCTGGTTAGTGTGATAATATTGTGAGCTTTAACTCCGTACCAGCAAAATATTGGCAGTAAAAGTTACTGTTAAGGGGCACTTAACCCACTTTACAGATTAGATATAATTTTCATGGGAATCACTACTTTTGAAAACTGTTTTATAATGTCCTGTCTAGCTTGTAAGCTATTTTCCAAAATTAAGAACTTACCATCAGTGATATCAAAGAGGTTTTAGTTTAGAATTGAATTTTTAAACGAAAATCCTGCAAACTAGAGGTGGTAGTACTGAAAGTTTTTGTACAGATCTGACACTAAGTAAATACAAGGCTGATATTGCCAATACCAATACTGATCATTTTAAGGCAGTGTATGTGAGGAAGAGTAGCGTATCATGGTTTATGAGATGAATCATTATCAATTTGTTAATTCTGAATACATTTTATTAAGCGCTAAATCACTGTGATTTTTAATTTTTGGAATAATTACCAGCGTGTATTTCGTGTATTTTGAAACTGGGTCTTTCCGCTTCTGTTGTTTTAAATGTGCTACAGACTATAAATAAATCAAAAATTAACATGATTTATTAGGGAACAAAGTGAACTTGGAGGGTAGAAACAAGTTATCGATCCTGTCATGCTATTATCAATCCAATACCAATACCGGCAGTTGGTATCAATACTATCGATACTTGGATTGATCTATAGTTTAAAAGAAAAGGGCATTTTCATATCTGGAGTTGGGGATCTTTAATTAAAGATTCAGTTGTATTTTGGAACATGTTGGTATATGTTTGCAGTGTATTTGGAGCTTAACAGCAGTAAAAGATTAAACGTTTGTACAGCCTTCATGAGCTGCGCAGTAATGCTAAAATTTAATCTTACGTGTTTCAGAGATGTTGTGATGTCTGATGTTGTTCATCCATTTAGTCAAAATGTCTTCGAATGTCCAGCAACACTGCGCCTTAACGCATCCTGCATATGTATCCTGCTGTACCGCTGATGCGCTGGTTTCACTGTTTGGACATTTCTTAACAAGGTGTAACAGTGTGAGACGTGACAGCAATGCTGAATGCATAGACACAGAAACAGATTTACATTCAACGCTGCTTAATAAGAGCTCGTGTAGTTTGGTGCCAACAAAAAAAGGATTTTTATTTGAACAAGGTGGCGGTTCAGGTGTATTTTCTCCCAACCAGCACACAAGTCGATACTCGTTACTTTAGCCTTTTAAAAAGAGCTGCTACAAATAGACAAGGATAGACAGAGCACCCAAAAGTACTGTGCAGAGGTTAATATAGAGAGCAGGCTGAGAGTTTTGCTTTAAATGCACATGATTTCTCAAAAAACTGCAAGAAAAAAAAAGATCCTTGAATGTTGTTTGTTAGAAATGAAATTTGGGGTGACATAATAAAAATATACAGGAGTTGAGGACAGAAGAGCCTATCAGTGTGTAAAACTGGAATGTTTTCCCGAAAGACACCAGGTCCTCTTTCATCTCCTGAAACCCAACCGGTTGCTCCAGGCGACTGTTCGTCGCTGCCTCCTCTCATCGTAACTCTTTTTGTTGCATCCCTGTGTTTTTGTTTGTTTGTTTTTGTTTTCTTTTTTTTTTCATTGTTTTACTGCAGCATGCTTTACTGCAGCATGTTTTACTGCAACTGTTTGGAGAAAAAAATTCGGTCTTTTTGTGCCACAATTTAGGTTGCATTAAAAATTAATAATTTGAGCTACCACAACAACCACATCTTTTCACTCAGACGCACAGAAACATCGCATTCATACACACATCAGATTTATGCCAGATAAATTAAACTGCATGTTTTTAGTGATGGATGACATTTCTACCACCCAAGTCGATGTGTGAGCTTTTTATTTGTATTTTTTGCTTTTTTAAGATCAAGGCTGATGTGGTCGGATCCTTTAATGTTAATGGTGTTTACAGCTATAACAGACATAGACACTGGGCTGCAAAATGTGGACATCTGACTTCCTCTGGAGTTTTAACTATTGTGCCTATGCAGTGCTGGTGGTATTTCTTTCAGCAGCTCTCATACTCTGAGCCATTTTATGTGTATGTGTGTGTCTCTTACAAACATTTGGTTGCCTTTGTCTTTAGCCATCAGCCAGCTCACTATACAGCAGATCCTATGGGACTAAAATTGACCTTTAGGTATTGTAAATTTGTTGGGCCTTTGGATTTGCCCTCATTTCCTGAGAACCAACTGCCTTATCTGAAGCAATTTCTAGTTTATCCGTTGCAGCCTTATAGTCTTATCACTTAGTGGATTTCAGCTCATTGAAATTAGTTCTTTAACTTTTTATAAAGATAAGACCAGCCTGTATTACTTTAAAGTCAACCTGACTATCCTGATAGACAATCCAAAGAGATTAGATACTTCAGGAAATCTGCTCCCAGTGTGAGAAGTCAAATGTCTTGAATTGACATCCCTTTTAACAAGGCCTGTGATGTAGCATATGCCTGGGTTGGATAGAATCTGTGGCCCATGGGGATAGTTACTCTTGTGCAGCTACATTCATAGCAGTTATCTCCTGTAAAGCAGCGAGTGAGTCACTGACAAGAAATAAGGCTAGACTTGGTAATATGAGGCCATGATCACAAAGAGGAAAGTAAGCACGCTGGACAGAGAAATCAATTTATATTCCTCATGAGAAGAAAATGGAGATCAGCGAAGCACCATCAGATCTATTAATGTCCAAAGATTGAATAAACTCATCATTATGAACATTAAAAGAGTCTTAGCTTGCAAGCACAACCCAGACAGCCCTGGGACAAGCTGGTGGACTCAGATGGTTAGCACTTTTCTGATTCTGGACTGATGTCTTCAACAACTGCACATTCGTGCAGTGTACGCTTTCTCAAAGACAAGATCAGCACTGGGCATTCAGAGAATCACTGAAGCAGTGCAGCAGAAAGCAGGGATATGGGAACAGGATCGTTTTTGATTGCTCTCCAAGAAGAATAACGCACCAGAACAAAAGAAAAACTGATATGAAATTATTTGGCTGTTATTACAGCTATTTCAAATATGTTACACTTCAAACAGCAGACGTCAAGAATGGGCACTTTGAATGGTTTCCATCATGGTGGGGGAAGACTAGCAGCATTTTGATGCGTCTGCTTAGAGGGCTAACCATTCTGAACGAGGGTGTTAAATTCCTCCATGCGACTGGACTACATGTATAACCTCCTGTGCAGCTTGAGTGGCTGCAGTTTTCCCCAACAGGAGCTGGACCAGTGCCAACACAATTATAAACTGTACTGCCACTCTGGGTGTAGTAGGGGGAAATCAGGCTGATAACACAGACAATTCACTGCAGGTGTTCCAGCGGCAGTTTTCTGCCACACAGAATGGCGCTGAGCTTTTGTTTGTGAGATAACAGAATGCCTGGCACATGTAGTATCTCTGCCAAGCCAAAAACAAAAAAAAAAGCCCAAGGATTTTAGAGGCCTTTTTACTGGATAGGAGGTTTATGGCTCCTGGAGTTCAAGACATATGGAGCTCCGTACTATTGTACAAACTGTGTGCATGCTTATTTTTCCCATTATTGGGAAAATGAAATTTATAGAATAAGCTACGAAGCAATAGAGTCACTGGGAATATTTTTTTACTCACGTATGTGCAGTGATGAACATGAAACAAAACAAACAGAAAAATCAAAAACCTGTTTTTAAGCTTAAAATATGAATCTGGATTAAACACTTTCACTGTGGAACCATAACATGCTCATTTTTTCATTTTCTTTTTTAATATTTATACTTTTTTACTAATTTAATACTTTTTATTACTACCTTTTTATTATTCTCTTTTTTCCTGCTGCATTTTAACTGCATTTTTAAATACCTGTACAGGGGACAGCCCAAGGTTATTAATTCTTTATTTCTAGACCTTTAGTACTCTTCCAGTTA